AGGGAAATATACTGACGACGAAGAAAGAACAATTCTAACAAGTGAAGAACGTTAAAACAACAAAAAACAATAATAAATATTTAATTTGATAAATTTTTATAATATATTTATTTTATTTTATTTTTTAATAATTGGGTAATTAGAAGAAATTAGAGAAATATTTTTTTTTGCATCAATAGATTTGAAAGATTAAATTATTTAAATAATTTCAATTAAAAAAAAAAAAAGAAAATTTAATAATGTTATATATAATTATTTTTTATGTAAACGAAGAACAATAAAAGAATTAAAAAATAATATAATATAATGTATAATAATAAATCAATAGAACAAAAAATTTAAAAATAAAATAAAATTTTTCTTACATTAACAGCTGGAGGACTAGTATCACCAGTAAATCCTCGACCAACACCAGAACTACATTCAACCCATCCAATTTGTTGGGAATTTGCATGAATCGCTGAAACTACATCCGTTCTCTAAAGAATTCATTCATGATAACATAAAATTATTTAATATTCATTATAAAATAAAATAAAATAAAATAAAATAAATAAAATAAAAATATTTTTACTCGTAAATATTTAGCAATAGAAGTAAGTTCATAAGGCCATGCTATTCCACAAGAAGGATAAGAATCAGAATGATCTCGAATGTCATATTGATTTATACATGTTGTAGTTGATCCATTACTTATGATATAAAATAATAAATAAATAATATAAATAAATAAATAAATAAATAAATAATATAAATAAATAATATAAATAAATAATGCAAATACGTTTGGCGTGAGTTTTCTAAAACTGTTTCCAAGATTAATTCACATAAATCTTGATGAATAGTAAGTTTTTCTTTCAAAGCATCCATACATGTATCCAGTTGTTGCTTAGCAAGTTCCTACAAAATAATTATAAATAAATAATTTAAATAATTAAATTAATTATAAATAATAAATAAACATAAATATAAATATAACTAAATATCTAAATATTAAAATGTAAAATAAATAATAAAAAAAAAAGATAAATACCTTGGAATTGCCGGTTAATAAATTATGTTTAACTGAAAATGTGTAATAAGCATTATACTAAAAAATTATATATATGTGAATATAAGCAACACTGGATTAAGTTACTGAATTAAGTTGAATTAAGTTTAAGAATAAAAAAAAAATAAAAATAAAAATAAAAATAAAAATAAAAATGAAAGATATCTTCTCACCTGCGCAATGGGATCTATCCATCCATTACCAATAGCAACACCTCGAAGATTATACTATTCAATGAAATTAGTATTCAAATGTCAAATAAATATTTTTATTAATTCACTTTATTCAATTTATTCACTTATTTTTTTAGTATACCTTTAATTTATTATCAGTGGTATTATTATTACGATCTAGAATGGCTTTAGCTATATAAGGAATATAAGTTCCCGCATAACTTTCACCAGCAATATATATCTAAAAAAAATATTAATTATCCGATACGATAAACTCAATTAAATTAATTAAATTGAATTAATAGATTAAAAATTAAATTAATTAAATCAATTAAAATTTGGTTAATAACTTACATCATCTTTGGAAAATTCGGGAAAGATTTTGAAAAATTCATC